GAAGTCACTGATTAAGCAGTGGAAGAGGATCATTAACTTGGATATCCTGGGTTCTGATGAGCATGGAGTTGGGGAAAACACACCTGGAGCTTCACTGCCTGTAATCATACCTCTCCTTTAAGTATAACACTGGGTTATTTGATCTAAACTGGTATGTTTAGATGTTTGGATGATGGCCAGTGACAAGCTTAGATCTTTGGTGGGATGTAAGCCTGTCTGTTATATGTATTTGGTCTTCAGACTTGTTGTTGAACAGATATAAAGTTGAAAAATAGACTTTTTTTCTTCTTCTTTTTGCTTGAATAAATAATCTTTGATGTTTTGACAGTTGGTTTAGTTCATCAGTACAATGTTCTTGTCAAGAGAAACTCCCCTTGCTTTTGATGTGGTTGTCAAAAAAAGAAAAGGAAAAAAAACATGGTTTGAAGTTGTGCAGACGTACATCTTCTCAGGTGAACAGGATTTGTGAAAATTCTCAATAATAACAACAGTAATATACTGCACTAGAAGGAGAAAAAGATGTTTGCCGTGCCTGTAACATCTGGTCTGGGCAGTTTGATCTTACCACTTCCACCACTGGCATTTCACCACAGTCCTGCTTCCAATTTCTACTGTAATCAATCCACATTGTGGAGAGAAAACACACTGTTCTGGCATCCATAAATAATGTCTATAATCTCCTTCAGGATCCACAGAGCAGCTTGCTTTACCAGGAAATGCTTTTTAACAGGGCAGAAATGTATCAAAGGCAATTTCCAGTCAGAAATAGCTAGCAGGCTGTTAAGGTATCAGCTGTCAGTTCATATTAATAGCAGTATCACTGTCTGATTAGTGAGCTATCACATGGTGGGTTAGTCTGTGTGGTGGAGTAGAGAAGAGATCACTGGCTTGGTGTAATGCAAACTTGTATGAACTGAAGCAGAATATTAAGTTGCTTATCACCAGTATTAGAATACGAGACTTGGAAAAAAAATTCATTGACATGATTCCCAGGGCCTTTTATTTCTGGTTTGGACATAAGTAAAATACAGTACTTGCCATTTATTACAATTCAGTAAGTCAGTGTTTTGCAGACTTTTCATCTAGTATGTGAGAATCTGATTTTCAAATCATATGAAAATGAAACCTAAGCTTATTAATACTAGTAGAAGTGGGAATTTTCCTTTAGATTTGTAACCCTTATAAATAATGGTGGCAGCAAAACCAGACAGACGGTAATATGGCTTGCATGATGTGATAAATTATGATATTCCTTGTTAGGTCACTGAGAGGATATTTCACTCATGATAACTAATAAATAATGATGATAAATAGTTTATTCAGCACAAAATGCACATATTAGAATGGCATTTACGAAGTATATATATTATATACAAGGTTTTAGTAATCTCATATATTAAGTGTTAATTTCACATAAACTACATTATATATAATTCATTAAATTTATGACAATAAGCCACTGAAAAAAAAGTGTTGCATTTTGGTTCCTTAAAAATATCGTAGGCAGTATGGGTCAGCTGGTGACATCACTCAAATTCTTCCACCTGAACTTAAATAGATTTATCATGTTATCCAATCAAGCCAGAACATGTGTGCATAACATGGTATGTTACTGTATAAGTTCGTTAAGTATCCAATTTTCAGTTTTCTCAGTGTGTAGGCAACTGGAGAGGGGCAACGCAAATGAGCAGCATGTGTTTTGTAGTTCACTCATGACGTGTGGTGAATTTGATGAAATCAATGTTGCCAATGTAATACATGCCAATTAGGCTCGTTTGGTGCCCTTTTGAGAAAAAAATTTCCATTTGTAGTGGTTGAATTTTGGAAGTGAAGCAAGGCGGATATCAGGCTCCCCACTGAGGTCTGTGATTACCAGGAGAGTTTCATTGTTTGCCAAATAGCTTAGTGCATGCTTTTGCTGTCATGTGTGATATATAGGAGGTGGCAGTGGCTGCAGCTACTCTCTTGTTTTCTTGATCACATGTTAAGTCAATTATTGCAATGAAAGCAAAACAAATCAGAGACCCACATTCATTTTGCCAGGACAATCAGATTACAAGGAATAACAGTGAAAACCCTTAGGATAGAACAACTGCTTGTTGCATGCTGCGCTCTGAAAGGTTGTGGTTCTGCTGCCAGCAGGCTGCATGGAAACCTCTGTCCAGGGAATGGATGCCTAATGGTAGATTGTGTTCTGATGGAGAGAAAACACTTCTAGGTGTATGCATAAACATAAAGTGGAGAGAAACAGGAGAATGCTGAGTGTGTTAAGAGTTGGGCGTACATGGAGTGGGTGTGACTGAAGATTAATTGACATGGCTCCACCCACTTGACTGACATAGTGGGTTCAGTTATTATCTAAATAACTTCCTTTCACTGATTAGCAGATGTGGCACACACACAGACTCCCTCTTTTGCACTCACTACACACACACACACACACACACACACACACACACACACACACACTTCTGATTGAATCTTTCTTTACCTTGTGTAATTGGTGAATGTTGTACCTAACATGTTCTCTGGTATTCATTAGCAGACTGGATCTGAACTGTTAAGAAAATATATCCAGATAAACCAGGCAAAGGTTTCCGAAATGAATACCACATTGCTGTGTTCATTGGGTCTAATTCACTTATTACTGGTATCAGTTTATTTTCTCTAACTCTTTGGTCCGATAAATGGCAACATACAAATGTTTTTGTGTTAGATTCTGGAGATGGTTGCCATTTTGTGGCGGAGGGTGTACTGAGTGCACCCTTCCACCTGAGTCAATCAGAGACTTAACGGTCCCAGCTCAGCAGAATTGTTTGCATATATAAGTCCAAAATGTGGGATATCCTCTGAACATGATGTTTTCATGTGTACTCACTAAATATTTAAGGACCAGATGTGTTTAGTAATAAAACAAACTATTTGGAGATGTGGTCTGTTTGCAAACCTTGAGGAAAGGATTTTAAGTAGCCCCTTTGAGGGAACTTTTCCTCCTTTATACTTCTGTTGGAGGAAGATCTTGCCAAGCACCTTTTTGCCCACCCTAACTGACATACAACTGTGACTAATTAGCCTGACTCTGTCCAAATTACCACATCTGTGCTCAGACACAGTGTGCTGTATTTGTGCCCTGTGTTGTAATGGAATCCTTGATGATGTAACGGTGATAAAATTGATTGATGGGGTTGGTGTTTGCCTATATCATCAAGTTATCTTACCTTCTTTCTTCTCAGGGTGAATATTTACAGCTACCAAATGCAGGAAAAAAAAATTTTTTTTTCAGCTGCAAGTAAATATATTATGGAGTTTGTCGATGAAACTATGGTACTAAAATCCGAATTGTAGGACACCCTACTGCACGATCCTTACACGTGTGTGTGTGTGTGTGTGTGTGTGTGTGTGTGTGTGTGTGTGTGTGTACGCACAAGTATACAAAGGCTTCTTATTTCCCCTTTAAAAAAGAGATTATGTTAATAACACAGTAAAGTACTGGTGCAAGATACATTGTGTGCTATGCACTAGTTACCAAGAGTGAAAATTCTTTCTCCTATAATAAGTAAATACATGTAATTCTACTTAATTAGATCTGATTATATTACCATTCTGGGCTTTTAGGGTTGGGTTGACTTGTTGCTTGAGTGATTTTAAACAAGTTGAGGTATGTTCACTGCCATTTGAGATCTCATTATTCTATCTCCCATGATGAAAGGGTTCACCGCTAAAGTCCTCTAACTGCAGGGGAGATTTTTTAAAAAGCTGTTGTAAACACAGGATGATATAATCTACGTTCCTAGCCTTTAGACCCCAGTGCACAGTAATTGTTGATGCTGTGTGGCTCTGTACCACCAGTCTCTTGACTTTGAACCGGTGTTATCTCTGCCTTAGATAATGTTTGACATGGAAGAAATAGGCAATACATTTGAAAATATGTAAAAAAAAAAAATGGTATGCCAGAACACACAAGTATAAGCATATCTAAGACTTAAGGTTACATGGAATTTTATATATTACATTCCTTTAACATAAATTGTGCATATGGCAGGATGGAAACTGTTGACAGTCAGACTTAAAAACACATCATTCAGCCCAAATACTTTCTGATGAAATGGGTGGAGGCATTTGAGTTATTATTTTTTAACATTTGAATTATTGGTTTGCCTGTATTGGATGACATGTAAGGATGGGTGGTGCAGTTAATTTACAAATCCTCATAGAAAATTTAGTATCATTTGGAAGGGAAAAAAACACCTTTAACTATCAGAAGAGGGCCGACTAGGTGTTTATCTTAAGAATGGGTAGAATGTATACAGAATGTATAATAGGAAGATGAACAAGAGGATTTTATCTGGTGAAATGGCCCTTGAAGCTGGCCAACTGTTACTTGTAAGTTAATGGTGGGTGTGGGGGATGTTACTTACTTCTTAACGCATGAGGAACTTGACTTGAGGCAGTGACAGGGTAGATTTCTTTACACATGAAGAACTTCACCCCAGGCATTGACACAGTGGAGTAGAACTAGTATCTCTGCTGTCTTGTGATGACATGATAAATAAACTATGAGATGACATTTTCAGAAAAGGTTACATACATCGTTCATGCTGAACTAAAGGCTTGTTGCTTTCCAACAACACTTATTTTACATTATCAGTGGTATTTTGAAACAAAATATTCAGATTTTCAGAGTTGATAAAGCTTATCAGACTTCAGACAAACTTAATTTAAGCTTTTACTAAATGAAAGAAGAAAAGAGAGAGAGAAAGTGGTTGGATTTGTCTCTGTTTGAAGATCAGTTTTTTTATGACAAAAGCTAGTCAAATAACTTTCAACAAGTAATAAATGTGTTGAAGAAAAGTGGGAAAATGTTTGCATTTTCTTTTTGATTGAAAAGAATAACCTTCAGCTGTTGGTGACATATTTTTTGTGATAGTGTGAACCAATTAAGATAAGACACGCCGGAACAATTACTAAAAGAAGTTGTAACATTTTGTTTGATCTTTCAGGTGGATGCTGAGACAAAACGCAACCAGCTCATGAGAGACATGGCACAACTCCGACTACAGGTATGGTGAAATATGTCAAAAAGCTTTATCAATGCAGAGAAAAGCCAAAGATCTAAGCCATATCAAAATATATCACCAATCAAAAAATTTGACATTTTCTGTGGTCTTATTAGATTGTTTTTAATATTGGGTAATATTCACTTTGCTAAGAGTGAGCCCAGAAGGTAAATAAATTTGATCTTCCTGTCTGTGCAGGCAGAGGTGAGCCAGTTGGAGGGTTCCCTGCAGTCCTCAGACCAGCAGCCTAGTTTCCCACTCTACCTGGTCCCTGATACCTCAGTGCTGTGTGAGAAACTCACTCTACTCAGGCAGATGAATAACAGCGCCAGGTTTATCATCATTATACCATTGGCAGGTAAACATAGGATGAGAGGAAGATTTGTGAAGTAATTGAAGCCATGGGTATCTGGAGAAAAATGAACTGTTTTGTTTATTAAGTGGAAGGTTTGGTGAATATTTCTTTCATTCTTTCCTTTGGTTGTGTGAGGGGGTGGAGGAGTTCATCTAAAAAAAAAAAAAGTTTTGTTTGTAGTAACTTCCATCTTGATATTGATTTCCCTGAATTGAAAAGATAAATTTCATATAATATTGACTTATGAGAACTTTTGCTTGTGAATTCTACCTATTTTACATAAAAAAAACAAGATAAATGCTAAATAAAAGGTATTGGTTTTATTTGTATTGTATTATTTTTTGTGGAATACATTTTATTTCTCATTTTTTTCTTCCAGTGATTGATGACCTTGACCATCTGAAGAAAGAGAGCCATGGAGCTAGAGAAGCCATACGTTGGTTAGAGGCAGAATTCCGTAAAGGAAATAGGTCAGTTGTTTAGTATTTCTCGAGAATTTACAAACCATTGCAACCATATACATTTGTATTGACCATTTTAGATAAAAATGCAATAATTTAGTATGAATATGAAGTAAACTTTCATTGAAGCAATTAAAACCAGTGTATCCGTAATCTTTCCACATATAATTACAGATATGTGCGTGCCCAAAAGAACAACGAGCGCTGTTCCAATGCAGTGCCAAGGCACATCAAAAAGAAAGACAAGGATGCCTGGTAAGCTGCCATCTGGCTCTATACCTCCCTCATCTGACAGTATTCTTATGTAGATTACTGACCAGGAGAGACTAATGATGGGAATACAAGGAAAAGGGGGGTGTTCATAGTAGAAGAAGGAGGTACTTATTTAAAACTGAAGACTTGCTATTGGTCAGAGATGAAGGAAAATTAGTATGAAATATGCTTAGACTGTCTCGCTGCAGAGTGATTTAATGGGCAAATGGGTAGAATACCATTTTCTTTATCCTTCTCCCACCCCTCTTTCCACCATAGGGCAAAGGAAGGATAAATGTCGTCAGGGATGACAGAATCTTTCAAATCGGACAGACAGGAGGGGAACGGGTGGGAGTGAGCTTTGCCAACATATTTGCCAAGTATTTAAATTTAGAAGTATATGAAAGGTACTATAACTCATTCCTTGTATATGCAATGTTTCACCTTTTTTGCACCTAATTTAGACACACTAGGATTTGTGAATAGAGCTTTACACAGGGGCAGACCCAGAGCTGTTATCTGACAGTCTTTTAAATTATCTTTGTTGAACCATCCTCCATATTTGACCGTCTTCCGACAGAAAAAATTAGATACTCGTCAATGTAAACTTGAAAATCTGACCATCTACCTGAAGACCCAGAAGATGGCCTCAATCCACCCCTGTTGTATCAAGTGTAAGTTGCAAACCAGCTGTAGCTATGTGTATGACAAACATGCATCAGTTGTTGTTACCTGGTGAAGGAACTAGATGACAATTAGCAATTGAATTCTAGTTTTGTGCCCACTGCTAGGCACTTACCATGATTAGAACAGGTATCCATTTGTTTGTGAGCAGCCTAGTGGAGAGAGAACAAAGATTTATAGCACATTGTTTTGACATTGCATACATCTTGACAGAGATTTAATTCAATTGATATCAGACTGAATTAATGATTTAAATTATAAGTTTATTGAGCAGTAAATGTATGTTTATTTACATTTACAGGGTTGCTATATTCTACATGAATTGTATATATTGACAACATATAGAATGATTTGATGATTGACATTACAGGTCAATGCACAAATTCAAAATGAAATATCACTAACACTAATAAGTACAAACTAAGCATTATATTTTGGTACACTTAATAACATTACTATATCAAGATGATTTATAATCTCATGCCACATTGTGGGTTGAGCATAGAGGATAGTTTAACATTTGGGACTGTTGGGCCACTGAAGTGGGACAGGGAGTTGTCAAAAGAATTTTAGACAGCAAGTTAAGTTAATAAGAAAGGGAAGGTGAAGCATTTTTCTTCAACTCTCTCCACCCTCTCTCCCTCTCTCTCTCTCTCTCTGACTGGTGTTTACATTGACATTGTGCATGGATGGCACATATTTTGAGTACAGAATAATGTATGCGTTTGTGCCACGACATGCTGGAATACCAATCAAATTTTTATGGAACAGATTTTATTCAAATGACATTCAGAAATGCTGCCCGCCATTTTAAGGGCAGCTCAATTAGTATTCAGAATGCAGAATTATGTGTGTGAATCCTTATTAATTTCCCAGGTTATACATTTGACCTTTTATTCCTTGCCTAAAACCGCCAGTCCTTCTGGCAAAGTTCCTGCATTTTTTTTCTTGTTGGTCATATTAATAGGTTGTTGTTTCTTCCCCTTTAGGCACTTCATTCAGTTGGTGGACTGCTACAAATACATGGCACAGCAAAGCACTGAATGTGACCCTAAGGCAATGGTGGCAATCTTAACCAATTACAACCTGAGTAACAGCGATGTACCACCTCGAGTACAACAAGCTATCACCACGGCACAGCAAGAAGGTATGTTACCAATTTGGCACATTTCCGATTAATATCTTTGAAATATTTATAAAAGTTCATAAAATGTGTTATTTGGTATATCAGATAAGAATGGAGGTGAGAATGGCCAAGGTGTTTCATGTATCAAACAAGATATTGAAAACAACAAGTAGGTGGTTGCTCTTGGATCTCAGAAAATGGCTCCTTATTTCTGTGCCGGAGTGGCCCAAAGGGAAATAATTTTAGCCAATTGCCAAGTTGACACTCATTTCAACAAGTTGTTTGTGTCTCACATACCTCTTGAGTAAGTTTATATTATCTAAGCATTATGCTTTTATTTAGTGTAGAGCAGTTGGTTAAATGATAAAGAAAACATTTGTTTATTTAGCATTTTGTTCACATTCATTATGTTAATGTTTATAGAAGTTAAGAAAGAAACTTTTAAAATGTGTGACTTTCTAAAGCCCCTATACTGCTATCTCATTTCATACTGGATCCTTTTTAGGTACCATTTTTCCGTTGTATTTTGACCTTTGACAATGATGGAGAATATCTGTAAAAGCATACAGACATGTTTGAAATTATGAGGGGTTTGACTTGATATTTTTTTTTTCTTTTTTTTTTTTTTTAGAATGATTATCCCAATTAGAAATAAACACAATTTAGATATTTGGGAAAACATAACTTGTTGTCTTTTTCTGTAAAATGAATGACATAGGTTCCCAATCAGTGTAGTACTGAATAAGAATTACAAACATTGCTTTTTATTTTCAGGCATTGACATTCAAAATGTAGATGACTTTCATGCAAAGTGGAAAGAGCTTTGGAAGAGCAAAGGCTGAGACCCAGTAGATCTTTGGCCAGACAGGCATTGGGTCTTTCTTGAGGAAAACAACCACTAGAGGGAGTGGTATGCTAAAATGCTCCAGGTGATAGATGGTCACACAGAGACAAGGTGCAATTACTTCACACACTAACTCAATCAGGTTATTTGGTAGATATTGATATGAAAATTTGGAGATTGACACCTAGAACATTTATTGTTTTTCTCTGTGACAGGTTAAAACGCAATACCTGCAGCTAACGTGTGATGTATCTCATAAAAAGAGCACTGTGCAAATATAAATGCTGTTTGATAATGAGACAATATTGTTTCTTATGCTGAAGATCTATGGATATAACATGCCTGATGTGATAAATACTGGTTATAACTTTAAATATTGGGAAGTTTTATAACTGCAACTTGGCATCTTTTGCTTTAGATATATTAGAATGTGTCTTCTTTTTTTTTTCGTTTCAATACATAAACAGTATATAAAGGTGTTCTGCTGCAAGTGATAAAAGGCTTCATTTTTTCCGAAATTCAGAAAAAGTAATGAGGAATACAGTCAAAGTCTTTGTTCTCCTAAATAAATAAAATTGATATTATCGGAAGAAGTTACTGAAGATTGGTTTCTTTTAAAAATGAATTCTCCAAATTAATAAAAACAAGAAAAAGAAATGGCTTCCTCAACAGCATGAGAACCATAATTCATTGTAGCTGAAAATCTGTGAAAAATCAAAAAGTCAGCCTCATGTACTCGGACATGTAACTTCTACAAAATATGCATAAGATACATTTGTTATACTTGGAAAGTGGATGTACATCGAAGAAAAGATTCAATTTAACTCGAGGCAAATAACTTACCATTTTTGTCAGAATTACCTGACGATTGCCATATAGAAATTGTAATCCAATATCTTTTTGACTGTGAAATAAAATTGAAACTGAATGATACGATGGTCATTTTTATTGTCAACTGACTTCAGTTGCTAGATTTGCACATAGATGTCCCCACAGTGCACTGCACAACATCTCATTATGGTCAGAGTAAGGGAGTGTGCGTGTGTTGGAAAATAACAGGATAGCTGGCCGTCGCATTAGAGCGTTATTAGACATGACTTGCCAAATGCCATTATTCAGCAGGTTACAGTTGTGGATGCAGCAGGGGAAATTGGTATTGGAATTACCCCTCATATCCTCCTGAAATGTGTCATTTCATCCCATGTGATGTTTATAGTCATCTTATTATCTGCTGTAGCAGTTTAAACCTGTGTAATTTTTCACGCTAGCTCTATCAAGTCTCACAACCTGTTGCCTCTGTTGACTGGGTGCCCCTGAGCAACACAACCTAGGAGGGGGAATGATCACATAAAGATATAAAGTGCAACTTAAAACCACTTACCTTTGGTGAGACATAATGTGAAGGGTTTGTGGGTTCTGCTTGGTTGACTGGGAAGAAAATATGAAACCAGCCAATTTTATCCATTTGTTCAAAACTTTTGAGGCAGGACACCGATTTAGGGGAAATATTCACCTTTGCATATTACCGTCAGATATATTAAGCAGATAAAAAAAGTTCTTAAGTCAAGAAAACACCTTTGATGTGAAATACCTTGATGTCAAATCTTATCCGAATCTCAGTTTACATTAAAGAAAAGAGAGGTGCTTTAGACCATACTAACAGAACATTATCTGTGTGGCTATTTGTTTTGGGCTCTCCATTTTAAAAAAAAACCGTTGTATAACTAAAACAGACACACATTCCAAATTGCTTTACAAAGAAATCTCTATGCTGGATTGTCACATTTTACTTCACTGAAGATTTCATGGTGCTGCAGGTACTGCAGTAGTGATATGCTTGAGTGCACAGCATCTCATCATCCTTCATAGCCATTTCTCTTGTCAAACATGAATCGCTGGAGGATGTAACCTGTGGTTACATGGATGACAGCACAAGACTGTTTGGCAGCCAGCCATTGCCCCTTGTGGTGTCATAAGCTGGCAAGGTGTCCCATTGTTGGCACGAGGGCAGGCTTGAAATCATGATCAACAGCGGTGGATTGGATCTCTGTCTCTCCTGAGTCCATCTGGCTCCAGTAGAATAGCTAGACCTAATGGTATGTTGAGCAACGGCATATCATCCAGGTGTATACTTCTGGAGTACACTAGGACAGTATCAGTAAATGTGGGCCTGAAGTCCTTTCCCCCTCAAGACAACTGACACATTAGTGATTCAAAAGTTACTGGACACACCTTCAGTTTATGATAATTAACCACTTTGGAAGATGAGGTTCTTTTGTGTAAAAGTGATAAAATTCAAATTAAAGGTTGTTGTTTTCATCATATCACTGTTGGCCCATTGACCAGGAAGACACTCAACATGGGTTCTGATAACATAATGATATCTTTGGACTTCATGGTTGAGTGTGACTTGTACAGCACAAGTACTGCTTCCTGTAATAAATACCACAGCCATATTCACATCAGGAATAAAGTAAAAGAGGAATATATGTCTTATATTACTATTTCAATCATCAAGATTTTTTATTTTGAGTTGAAAAAAAAAATAATAAATACATCATCTCTGACAAAGAGCCAATGTGGACTCCATCTCTTCATGTATTACAACAAAATGTGGTATTGGGAAAATGTTTGATTTAACTTAGTAATTATTGTAATTGGCATTGCCAATCAATCAAATTGCTTAACATGGGATTTGAAAGACTAAGAGAGTGTTTAATGGTGATCCTTATGTAATGTAGCCATCTTGTTACAACACTAAGTCGTCACCCTTTAACCAACTGCAATTTTGTATGGCCTTTCGCTAGAAAAAAGGATAGAAATATATACATGTACCATTGGCCTTTTGATTAAGCATCCAACAATAAGTACAGCACTTACTGAGAGACCTTTTTATGTACAGACACAGATGTGTCTGTACATATTGCCATCACCTGCGTCTGTCGTCGCCGATGCCGTCGCCGATGCCGATGCCGATGCCGATGCCGATGCCGATGCCGATGCCGNAATGTGGACTCCATCTCTTCATGTATTACAACAAAATGTGGTATTGGGAAAATGTTTGATTTAACTTAGTAATTATTGTAATTGGCATTGCCAATCAATCAAATTGCTTAACATGGGATTTGAAAGACTAAGAGAGTGTTTAATGGTGATCCTTATGTAATGTAGCCATCTTGTTACAACACTAAGTCGTCACCCTTTAACCAACTGCAATTTTGTATGGCCTTTCGCTAGAAAAAAGGATAGAAATATATACATGTACCATTGGCCTTTTGATTAAGCATCCAACAATAAGTACAGCACTTACTGAGAGACCTTGTTTAAATGTATATTTAACCTCAGCACTACAGTATTTTTCTGAATGATTTATTGACCACAATATATTGAAAATATGGTTACTGTCTTATTCAAGTTAAACATCTGTGCCTAATCTAAAATGTGGTTACCACAAGCCCCAGATCTCGGTGTATAATTTATCACCATGGTCAGATGCATTCAGAGATACAGTTTTCCTCCTTTTAAGATTTCCTTCCTTTTTCATAAGAAGAAGGTAAAATACCCGTTTTATGAGGAAGCCTTAAAGAAAATTAAGTAGATTAATGGTCTACGTTTTAGATAGGAAATCTCATTCGGTCTAAAAATAAGTTATTTATTTTGTTTGTGATAAAATGAAAGGTAATGGTCACCTGGTTGACCTTTTTTTTTTTTATTTGTTTAATAACTTTTTGCTGCCAGTCATTTACCACTTCCTTAGTTTTTATTATTATTATTATTATGAAGAACTTATGCCATCAATGAAACTTTTCAGGTATCTTGTGGATAAAGAGAGTTTTTTTTTTTTTTGTTTTGTTTTTTTTTTTGGCGTCTGTACATGTAGCTGTTCAGATGTCTTTGAGGCCAGTATTTTTGTTGTAAGATTTGTTATGTATAATTACAGACTGGCTTTTTTAAAATACTTTATGTATATATTTTTGTATTTGATTTTTATTGAGCCCAAGTGGGAGGGCTGGTCAGTAAATGTTATGCCTGTGTCCAGTCCAGAGATTGACTACATTGATAACTGCACAAATGACACCCTTGTTTAGTGGTGACAGGCGTAATAGACCCTATTTCAGTTAGTTGTGGTTTATGGGTTGGAAAGATGCCTGCACAGATTAAAAGTCCAAAATGTGGAGCTAGAGTTATCATATAATCTAAAAATCGTTAATTTAAAGGTGCACACTAAGGTCAGCCAAGCAGAATGCTTAGAGGAGCAGCCTCAACGCTTGACTGGGTTGTACTGTAGAGGGCACTGTACTCATTATTTTTTCTCATTTTTTTCAGAAGTTAATGTTCTGAAAGAATCTTATTGTGTTCAGTTTAGAGTCTGATTATAAATGAATCAATATCAAAACATGAGAGAGTAGAATGGCTTGTTTGCAATTAGAAGTATATTGAGACACTAAAAAGATTTTAAGGTAATAGATAATGGTCCATTTATGCTAGGACTAGTTTTCCTTCAGAAGTTATTGGTAATATTCTACATCCTTTGAGAAATGGAGTAGCAAATTGATCTTCAGATTTAGTCACAACAGCCAGGAAAGTAATTACTACAAGCCTGGGAAGTCCATTGAGTTTAGTTTGAAACTTGTTTTTACTTAGTTATTTTTACTAAGTATTTTGTGTCATAAAAGTTCAATTTCATGCATCTAAAAAATCTTATATTAGACATTTTGTCACCTCTTGTTTATTGAAGCTTGATGCATATCCCTGCAAGGGGCTTTACTACAATAATCAGTGCATTCATCAGATTAAATTTGGCTATTGTATATTCCTTATCACTCCGACTGTTGACATGCAATACAATCATAACCGTAATATTTCAAAACACATGCCTTGTGTTTTTTTTCTCGTCTGAATGGGGATTTTATTACATGAATGATACCCAAGGTCACACAAGGAATACAATGGTTGAATCTGTTTGTTCTTAAAAATGTTCATTTTCCACCATGTTTGTTCAGGTTGGCTACAGCTAGAACAGAGCTCGGCACCTCAAACAGTAACCAAAGCTCTGTGTGTGTGTGTTCTGACAAACATCTCCTGCTTTGATCATTAAAGATAGTATTGTCCCCCTTTCTGCAGACCTGGCCATCCTGTAAATAGAGTGGGACTCGTACCAAGTGACTTTTATGAAACGTGAGCAAGAAAATATTCAAGTTAAAGATTACTTTGTGAAGGGCATACAATGGATGAAATGATCCGATCACATCTTGCAATATTTCGGTAGAGCCATTTAACTTCCACTTCATTTCATGTTCTCAAATTGGAAACAAACTCACAATGCCCTCAAAAGATTTGATTTCCAAAGAAAACCAACCATTCATGCAGCTCTGATTACCTAAGGCTAAAGGTGAGCTTCATTTCAAAGTTAGATGAGTGAGTTGGTTTGTTTGTTTGTTCTGGGACATTTTCAACAGGGGGACAATCAGCCAGAGGTTTTTGACTGCATTGCAAAACACAACAAAAACATTCTAAAGATAATTGGATTTGGATTGAAAACATTTGGATTAGAACACGGCACATTGAGTTTTGCAATAAAACCTTTGATTTAAGGATGTTTCATGGTGTTAGCACATATTTCATTGAAGTTATTGAAATAATGTAATTTATTTTATTTTCAGTCTGTTTTTACTTGAGAAAGTGCACAAGTTTGCAAGGTGTGATTACTTGTGTTTACACTAGGGATGTGTCTTATATTAAGGTGTTAGTGAAATAAAGCGGCACTCCTTTACAGCAATAATCATAACATGATTTGCTTTCTCTGTTTTTGTTATGGAAGTGCCAATGTACACTTTTGTAATACTATTTATTACAAGAGAGGTAAATATTCCAGAGATTGACTTGTGGTTCAAGTGAAATACAATGACCTTTGAATTAAGTAAAGATCAAGTCTTA